CAAAAACTTTTTATTGCTGATTCCGTACTGTCTTACCAAATCCTCAAATGGAATGAAGTTGTTTTCTTTTATGATATTTTCCAAGCATCTAACTCCTTTGTCATTCCATGTAGAAAAGTCCAGTACGTTTTTATTAATGAGGAAGTCAGGGTTGTTCCAGATGGGTGTGCATTATTACATTCAACCATAAGCTATGTGCTACAACCAAGATGTGGAAGCCAACATTTAGTAGAGGAAACAACCATCCAGATAGTTTCTAGCACGTGTATTTGACCCCACGGTGGGAAATCAGTACAGGGTCAGTTCACCATTCATTAGTGGATTTCAATCTCTTATTTTTTAAATACTTAACAATTCCACCTTTATTTGTGATGATAGCCTCAATCTTCCTCAGCATGGAGGACACAGCATTTTTGAAGAGATATTCTGCCATTCTTCAAAAACAATCTTTTCTAGCTGCTTTTTGCTGGATAGGTAGTGTTTTTCTACTTTTCCCTTTAAAATACCCAAAAAGTGGTCTGTTGTATTCATTAGCGCTGAAGAGCACAACAATTTTCGTTTTTTTTGGACACCTTTCATAGCAGTTGATGTTATACAATGTCAGACTGTCACACAGCTATCACAGAAACTTAGATTTTTAATGAAATGCCAAGTCCTACACACTTGCTCATCTTTTTTTCAGAGCTTATTTTTGCAAGTAACACTCTGTCTATGGCATAATTTTAGGAAGATGGCTAATAAGTGATACTATTGCTCATTCTATAGCTTCTGGTTACTGCTTAAAATGTACTTGGTGTGATTTGGTCATCGGTCTTCCTCTAACCTTTTCCATGTTTATGAAGTCTCACAGCCAGATTTTTTAATATCTGTCTCAATTTTTCTCCATGTGGAGTGATAATGCAGATATGCAGACTCATCCTATTTTCCAAAACTGAGAACACTCTGATGTTGACAGGTCATTTTATGACCATATACTCTAGGTCATGCGATGGCATTTGAACCTCCTTTGTTTCCGGTTTAATGCAATTAAAAACTTTGCCCAGCACTAAAATTTCTCCCTTTGAATGTCTTGACTTGGGCAAAAATTGTGATTTGCCCTGGCTTGTGCATAACATTTGTATGAGGTAGACAAAGCCTGTCTCATTCACAACAATGAAGTCTTCCACCTATATGTTTAAAATTACAATGGGTGCTTTACAGTACATTTTCTCAGGTCACCAGCCAAGTCAAATACCCTCCTGTTTTTCCAACTAAATGCAGCAGGTATTAAAGCATACTCAGCCTCCAAATTGTGATGACATTCTGCTGTCACCCACTGTGTTGTGCCTGGATTCAAATGTGCTTGTCTTTGTTTCCGATGAGGTTTAACTTCTGTCCCCCTGTCTCTCTCAGATGGATACACCACTGATGACATTGAGTTCTACTGGCAGGGAGGGAGCAACGGAGGCTCAGTCACTGGGGTGGAGAACATTGAACTGCCCCAATTCTCCATCATAGACTACCAAACTCTCTCCAAGAAAGCTGTTTTTGCCACAGGTAACAAGTTCATACAGTGACAGTTCAACTCTTTTGACTCATTAAAGAAAAAAGCATTTTCAAAGTTTTAATTCCATTAATACATTCCATTTGTAAAATGATACAATACTGTTTTAATTTACTAATTAATTGACTGATTCATTTAATTTTATGTATCTTTAACTTAATTTATATATGCTATTGATCCCACACATCCCAGGAAGCTAGAGGAACACAGGGTAAGCCACACTTGCGCACCCCTGGAGCAGATAGGTTCAGGACCTTGTTCAGGGACCCAGCAGTCGCAGTAACCAGTAGCCCAAAGCCTTGTCCTCTGAGCTATCACTACCCCCATTGCTTCTACTTGGATGTTTGTTTAATCTGGTTCATGAGTGATGAGAAAAGGGAAGGTTGGGATTATGTCCTTTGAGTTACCGGAAGGCTATCATACAATGTAACTGTTTTGGAAGAGTTTCACTGACAGATACTTAAGGCTTATTCATGCTTTCTGCATCTGCAAATTTCTGACCGAGTGAACTGTCCACACGAAGAGTGTGCCTACTGGGCATGTGCCAGGAAAACATGGTGGTTAAAACAAATGTTTGGTATAAGGAGAGAATGTGCAAAGAAAATCTTGGACATCCAAACCTTAAAAACACATTAACAGCGTTGTAATTTAAGTAGTGGCTGCAGGACTTTGAAGGAGCTTTGATTGTTAATACTTGCTGTTGATGGAGCCCAAACATAGCAGGAAGTTCTACTTTCTCCAAAAATCCTGCACTATGCTTACATATTGTGCTTGGTAGACCTCAGGAATAATCCCTGACAGTGCGACAATGTAGTCTGGAAGCAGCTCTCATTGCCTTGTGTGGTTTTTTCCATTTGACACAAGAGGAAATGGAAACAGCTGCGTAAAAGACTCGGGCGGCACCATTTTACTATGAACAGAGTTTGCAGGCCGCCTGTCAGCCTGTGCACATGAATGCGAAAAGCATGAATTGACCATTACAGGGTGATTTGAGATTATTTCAGCCTAAAAATGTATCTCTGTGGGTTTTCCTAATTTTGCATTCGGCATCTCTGAGAAGAGTTTTGGGAGATGAACAAGTGTATTCAGGAGGATTGCATGATACCCCCAGCAAAGCTTTAACAAGAGCCCTTCAATGCTGAAAAAAATTGAAAGAAAGAAAGACCTGACTAACAGTCATCAAGACAACAAAATACATGCTCTCATGGTGACATGGGGACATGCTCGATGGAGAAGATGGCGTGTTGTTTACAACATCTAATACAAATATTTATGTGTTGAAGCAATGAGAAAAATATAAATGTTCATATGTTTTGTAATAGAAATTTGGAAACTACATGGTTTGTCTTTTAGGACAGGCTTTCAGAGGCCTTAGAATGATACATCATGGGGGAGTTCATTGTTGGGCTTGACTGCTGTAATTTGTTCAGTTCGTATGTAGACATTCACTGACGGAAATGTCAGCTGACTCTGACTCAGGAACAGGTTCATAGACTCCGAAATGGTCTTTGTATCAGCTGACCGTGACGGTTTGGTTAGTTGACCGAGATGCACGCTTGAGAACAGAAGAGATGTTTGCCGTCTCACACTTGTGAATTGAAGAGGCATTGACTGGAAAAAGAACAGACTCAGGAACAAGTGAAATGTCAGCTGACTCAGTAACAGAACAGACATCATTTAGAAATAGTCTGTCCTTGGAATGATGTTGATTGATCGTGGTAAAGGACTGGGTTTAATGCCAATCAACAGGCTGGCCTGACCTTGACACTGATTACCCAAGGAACTGGTTCAGAAACAGAAAAGTCATCAAACAGTTCAGATTCAGGATATTTGGGAGCTGTGACATCAAGGCACAAGGAAGCAGTTAGGCACAGCATCAAGGGGAACCATGCCTCCCTCTGGAAGGCCTTCCAGAAGGCGGTTCCAGGGCAGGATCAGGCAGGGAACTGACTGGTTCAGTGCAAGCCAACTGAAACTGACGAGAACCTAGTAATCCAGAGGCTTGCAGACATGGAGACAGGCTGGTGAGTAGCTGACTCTGGAGCTGGCAAGCAGCCTGGGAACCATGATAATAGGTTCATACTTTCCAGTGGGGGCCCTCATGACTAGTCATGTTCCTCTGAATACTGGTCTATATTCAGGCATTAGCCAATACTTGAAAGCTACAGTCTACTCTAGCAAATAGAGCACAACTAACCTGTGCTTATAAACCAGCATTTCTGTTGGTTCCATGTTTTAGCTAGTTCATTCTGTTAGGGACCAATAAGGAAGCAGACACAAATGCAGACACAGCAGGAGATGAAATAACAAAATAAACTTTATTTAAAACTTGCCTAGCTGTTGAAACAAAATCAGGCAGGAGAAAAAAGAAAAGCAAAAAGTGCTTGGATATCCAAGAAAAAAACGATCAAAAGTCAAAGTGGTATTTAAAGAACAAAATCTCCAAATCCTAAAAATCCCCAAAAGATACAAAAACACAAACCTGATTAATATGGGGAGCACAAGGAGCAAATCAGGCAGGGAATACAGGCTAATGAACAAGAGATAAATGAACAGGATGAAGACACAGGTAACTCACAAGACACATGCAAAACTAATGATGGCAATCAAAAAAGAAGGAAAAGATACAAGAGATTCAAGAGGCTTATTGTAATGTGCACAGAAGTTAGGGAGTTAAACTGTACGATTGAATTCTTATTTTGCTAATCCTCCCTAACCAAATACAATGTATACAAGTGCATAAAAGCTGAAGGCAGACTTAAACTGACAGTAGCAGTGACCATGAAGTGCACTGTGCATCTATCTATTGCAGTGATAAATTGAAGAACAGTAGTATAAAGTGCATACTGCAACGAGGTAAACAGTTATACATTATGTAGAGTTTGGTGAAATTGTTCAGTTCAGTGTAATTGTATAAGAGAGTCATTTTCAAGGCTAATAGCCTATGGGTAAAAAGTGTTAATCAGCCCAGTCGGTCTGGATTTCAATTCAATTCAATTCAACTTTATTTGTATAGCGCATATTTACAACAACAAGTCATCTCATAGCGCTTCACAAAGGCAGAAACAGAAACACCCAACAATCCAAAACATCTGGATTCCCTATAAGCTTCAGCAGTCCGCAAGCAGTCCACAACAGTGGGAAGGAACCGAAAACCCCCACAGGGGAAAAAAAACCTCAGACAGAACCAGGCTCAGGGAGGGACGGCCATCTGCCTCGACCGGTTGGGTGGATGTAGGATGAATTATACAATTTAGTTTACAGTTAAACAAGTTATTAGAATTTATTGTCCTTTTGCAACAGGAGGCATCATGGTGGGGGGAGCAGGATACAGAAATTTTCACACCTCTGTAGTGCCTGTTTGATGGCAAGAGTGTGAAGAGGCTATGTTGGGGGTGTGATCTGTCGTTGATGATATTGTGGGCCCTCCTGGAGACCCTGGTCCCGTAGGTGTCCTGCAATGAGAGGAAGGCTTCACCAGAGATGAGCTGGGTTGTTTTAATCACTCGCTGGAGAGTAGGGCTGGGCGATATGGACCAAAAGTCATATCCTGATAAATTTAGACTGAATATCGATATACAATATATATCCCGATATTTTTTCCGCAAAGTATAAGCGAATGTACAGTCAAAGTCGAAGCCAACTATAACATGATACAAGTAGTTTTATTGAAACCAGCAATTTCAGTCAACAGCTACAAAATGAAATGAATAAATATCAAAACAATACAACGGGTTTCTTCACCTGGTTCATGAGTAAATAATCAGCTGTTCAAATAACAACAGAATGTAAACATAAATACTGTGTAACAAAGAGTACCGTTTTTGAAATCAAAGCCCTGTAAGGTGTTTTGTTCTTGTTGCTCTTAGTATTTATGCTATTTTTTAATGCTACTTCATATTTTTAAAAACAGTGTTTAGGCCTATGTGTCAACATTAGTTCCTAGTTACTTTGCAGTTTGCTCTTTCAATCCGAGGCGAGTTTGAACACGTTTTTAAAAAGAAGTGCAACATCGCTGCAGCTGCAAAGCAGAGGGAAATGGCTGCTCGGCTCAAAGTGTATGTTTAAATGCCGCCCTTTGCAATCGCAATAATATTACAGGGGAAAACTGGTTGAATGGTAGCTTATTAATTTATTTCATTTAGGTGCAATCCCACGGGGAAGAAGCGCACTGGGCAGCAGCTTAAGATGAAATATAAAAACACTGTTCAAGTCTGAGGTTGCAGCACAATGTCATTAACAGAATATGATTTAAAATTAATTGAACGGATCTCTACATCATTCACCTGCAGTCCTGTGGAGCTCCTCCTTGATGCTCTGACAGGTTTATGTCCAGGGAAAACGACGGAGATGGTAAAAGCCGTTTCAGAGCGAGGCACACTTCTCTGACCACCCTGCATACAGGTGCCTCACTCAGGTGCTTTGCATCTCCGACGTTGTACAAAAACACTTCCATTTGCAAAGAAACATAGCGCAACACACGATATCTGCTTGGTAATACTGCACATCCATCCATCCATCTTCTTCCGCTTTCTCCGGAGTCGGGTCGCAGAGGCAGCAGCCTTAGCAAAGCCGCCCAGACTTCCCGATCCGCACACACCTCACATGTCAGGACGGATCAGGTTGTTTATGTAGATAATGGCCTGCAGGGTTCTCGCCAGCATTATAACAGAGCAACGACCCCCGACGCTGCTGCCTGAAAAAATTACACTGCGACTTTGGCCGATACGTTATGGTATGTTTTGGAGGGTATGTAGCGGGAAAATATTTAAGAAGTGCTGACGCAGTTTCTGTACCGTGGTCTTCGCTGCTAATGCTGCTATTCACTAGCACTGAAGACACTAACGTCTTCGGTCGTTAAATGTTAGCTATGCGGAGCCCAGGTTAGCTTGCCGGGAGCAGGGATCACAGCGCAAATTTGACCCATACCGATATATGCAATATGGTCTAATTCCATATCACGTTTAAAATTATATCAATATATTTTTTATAC